ACCTAGGTTTATATAAGGTGGCATAGCCCCATGCCAAGATTCCTTTACTACTCAGGTTGGTTCACTGGGGAACGCCGTGGTGACGTCATCAGAGGAAATCCCTTGCGTTCAAATGAAGGGGTCATTTGAATTGCTGATTTTGGCTCGATATAGTCCTATTTTTTTAGTTTCAGCCCCATTTATCGTAATGAGGCGAACTCATTGTTACATTGGTACAACTTTTGATGACACATAATCCTTGTTTTTTGTTCTCCAGCTCGCTCGAAAGATGATGAAATTTGCATACATGCCTATGGATGAAGAGCAGGGATGCGGAGCCGGAGCCGGAGTCGGAGCCGGAGCCGCCGGAGCCGGCATATTTTGCCCGGAGCCGGAGCCGGAGCCGGAGCCGTGAAACAATATAGACCGGAGCCGGAGCCGGAGCCGGAGCCGCCAAAAAGGGGGCGACTCCGGCTCCTTTTTATTTTTTGAAGAGGAAAAAAAAAATAATTGACCTAGTTCGGTTTGACAGTACAAGGCAGTGAAACATATGGTATGTACTTACGTCATGGGCAATCAAGTGAATGAAAAAAGCCGAATATCCCCAGTATCCCACAGTACGCAATCAACTTCCTGTCTGCTCCTCCCCCCCCCACGTCTACTGCATCCCCAGAACATGAGGACCGGTCATCAGGTGACGGCCATTGTTTTCAAGCCAGTGCAGTGGACTGCGACTCCCAGCACCGTCTCTGCCGAGACGGGTGTCAGCTTACGATGGTTCAGTGAACTCCGATTCGCGGCGACTGCGTTTCCAATGCCATCGCTTCCTAGTCCTTTGTTCTGCCAGTTCTCTCCGAGGTGCGTTTGCGCGGGGACGCGGTCATGAGCCGGTCATGGCAAAGAGTAACGCGTATAACCAATCCAATTTTTCTTCCACCCGTATTTAATTGATTGCATAGGGGATGTACTGAGTCGGAGTCGGAGTCGGAGCCGGAGCCGGAGCCGCCGGAGCCGGACCATTTTACTCGGAGCCGGAGCCGGAGCCGGAGCCGCCATAACATTTCACCCGGAGCCGGAGCCGGAGCCGGAGCCGATTTTTTCTCCGGAGCCGGAGCCGGAGCCGGAGCCGTCTGAAATTTCCACGGCTCCGCATCCCTGATGAAGAGAGATTCTACCGCCGTGGTGACGTCACGGTAAAGGGATTCTGGAGCTCGTGAACGGGGGCTGCCCCATGCCCCCCCCCCTCCCCGGCCCTCCTCTCGTGACCCCCAGGCGCACAAAAGGGCTGGTAGGAAGTGTGCTGATTGTGTGTTAAACCCATTAAAAGCCCCATACGGGCCAGAACATGTCCGTCAAGACAGCCCATATTCAGCCCATTATTAACATGGCCAGAATGCCCATTATAGGAGACAGGCAAACCGCCTCCTCAGAAGGGGCAGGTCGTTCGACACCAACGCCATCTATGATCATTATGATGAACTAAGCGAAAAGCCTTGTTGCGTTTCCTAGCGTAGAGTAAAAACAAAAAGACCGACACGGGTTTTTAACGGTGACATATCGTAGGCAAGGGACCAATGTAACAGCCACATTTTTTTTTGATAATTTTTGTTCTTTGATTTCTAGGAGATATTACCGCATTTTGTCAAAAATCAGAGTTTTGTCCCTCAAACTTTTTGACTTTGCCATCGCGATTTTTTTCCAAAATAGCACTTTAGTGCTCATTCCGTGATCACAACACTCATAGGATCAGAATTTGACCTAAAGCCATTGATAAAAAATAAGTTGCAAAAACCACCCACCCTAATGAGTACCTACCCAGTAAACATGCCGACGTCAGCCCGACGTCGGCCGACGTCGGGGTGACGTCGGCAACTCGGCATCGACATGCCGACGTCGGCCCGACGTCGGTCCAACCTCGGCACGACGTCGGCTGGATGTCGGATATGCCCGCATGTTCCGACGTCCAGCCGAGGTCCAGCCGACGTCGGACCGACGTCGGACCGAGATCAATTGCTGAGGTCCAGCCGACGTTGGGCCGACGTCGGGGCGACGTCGGACCGATATCGGCCGCTGTTTTGACCGTTAAAATAATATAAAATACATGTTTCATGTTTCATAAAGAGCTTCTGTATTCAAAATATCCTCAGGAAACTCAAATCTTCCTCCACGCCGCAACCCCCTGATCCCGACTGGACGGGAAACTTTATCCCCGGGGATTGCCCGTAAGCCGAGCTCGCCCGTAGCCGGGTGCGGTGAGTGCTTGGGGGCTGCTCGGCCTATCCTTTGGTCAGGCTCAGCCCCGGCAACTCACCAGGGCCGGGCCCAGTTCATATAGAAAGGCCAGTCGGCAAGTGTCACCTTGCCAAAGTGCCACTTATCAAAGGGACACTTTGGGAAACGTTGGTGCAGGTGTGTAAGAGTGGCTATATGAATCCATTGTGGGGTCGCCCTTTCTTTCCAATAAGTGTCACGTAACAGCAATAGGACCAGGGACCCTATATGAACTGGACCCAGGGTGCTCGCCAAGAAGACCAATGTCTCCATCCTATGATCCTTCCGGCTCTGAAATGGTCTTGTCAGACCGAAAGGGCATAACCCAACAAAACAAACCAAGTTCGTTAGCTGGCTGCGTGGTGTAGTGGTTAGCGCACTAACCTCGCGTACGAATGACACGGGATTCGAATCCCATTGCCGGCTGATGCTTTTAGCGTGTTGTCCCAGTAAATATGCCGACGTCGGCGACTGGGGGGCTCGAATCCCGCCGCCGGTTGATATTTTTGGCGCGTTGTCCCAATAAACATGCCGACGTCGGCCCCGTCGGTCCAACGACAAACGATCTCGTCAACCTCGGCAAACGATCTCGGCCCGACGTCGGCTCGACGTCGGCTGAACTTCGGCTGGACGTCGGAACATGCGGGCATATCCGACGTCCAGCCGATGTCGGGCCGAGGTTGAACCGACGTTGGGCCGACGTCGGGCCGAGCCTCGGCCCGAGGTCGGGCCGACGTCGGCATGTTTACTGGGTATGTAGGTACCTATGTAAGAAATATTTTGAGTCAATATTACAAACATTGTTATCATCTTTACGAGTATAGCAGTGTATTATTAATGTAGGGTAGCCTGGGGCAAGACGCCCCAGATAATTTATTTTGCTACATTACTTTTGTCCCACATCACCTGGAAGGCCAAATTTGTGCTCAATGCGTTCTTTGGACATTTGACTTCAAATTCCACCCCTCAAATTCATTGACTTATGCTCGGACTCCTAGCTAGGAAGTGATTTGTGAAGCAACTGCAAATGGGGCATTTTGCCCCAACCCCAGGGCAAAACGCCCCACGGCCTGGGGCAAGAAACCCCATACTCTATAGATTAAAGATTAGGGGAAGCCGGGGGAAGCCCGGGCGCGGGGGAAGCCCGGCCACCCCGTTTCCGGCTAAATCATTCACAATAAAATGCTCAACTGTTTGTCCTTTCAGCGTGGCAGCTAAGGTAACGCCAGCAAAAAAGTTAAGGCTGACAAAAATTGCATATTGTTTAAGTTATAGCGCAAAAATGATATTTTAAGGGTTTTTAGCTAAAAAGTGAGATATGTTGCACTGTTAATGTTATGCCATTCAGTACTAATATTTATACGAATGTTATGTAAGGACCGTTTAAGTGTTTGTAGTGAGGGGTGACGAGGCAGGCTGGCTTAAGTATGACATTTTTTTCGAATATCGCTGTTCTAAAATAAAAATTAGCACATTGGGGTAACCCCGGGCGAGTGGCCAAGCTTACCCCCAACCGAGAGCAATGCCACTAAACCACTATTTTCTATGAGATAATAGGTACTGAGCAGGTTTGGTTTACACCTAGATCAAAGATAAATTTCGAAAATAAACATGTTATCTTAGACAAAGCCAGTCATGTCACTTAAGGTCAACTAGGGTTTAACTACGTTTTTGCAGATAACGCGACAGACAATGAAGCTAGAGCTTCAACAATGGTGTCGTTGTGTTCTTCTTCATCAGCCGAGTCGAATGATATGCAATATGATGCATTAAGGTAAAAAGAAAAAGAAATTTTAAGGAATTTGGAAATACACGTTTTTTGTTAATTTTGCATCACGATTTTCATCGACCTGTACTGTATATGTAGTAGACGCTAGCTAAAATACCAGTATAGTGTCATAAACTCTAAGATGTCCAGAGCTAATCAGTACCTTAATATTTCACTTTCCGTTACTTTTTGGAAAACACATAATGGTTCCATCAACTCGTTGTAAAGCGCTGGGGAGGTGGCCGGCGTTACCCCTATCCCGGGCTTACCCCAGAAAAATCAACACTTTTTTAAAACTCGATTTTCTCAACCTCATACTTATTCCACGAAACCGAATTTTTGGGAAAACACGGCCAATGAACTTAGCTAGCTAGCAGGCTATCAACATTTTATACGGCACGTATGGTATGTAATAAAAATGAAAAAGAGCTTACTATGCCGGGCTTCCCCCGGCTTCCCCTAAATATGCTAGTTGACTTAAATCTTATATGAGAGGTCTGTTAGACCTTGGGAAGCACGGCACTGAAGTTAGCTCCTTCCATCCTATCAGGTGTTCAGCTATGGCACTATTGTATGAGCAGGTTTTTCACCTGCCTCATAAGGCCAAATAATAAATTATTGCAATGGAAATTTTAACAAAATACTTCCTTTGCCATCCAGTTGCTGAGAAAAGTACATATAAATGCATAGAAACTTACTGTTAGCCAGCTATCGAACATTAGGAAGTGGGTAGTCCGAACAACACATGAGGTAAAACGTCCCATGGGGCGTTTTGCCCCGCGACCTACTGGGGCGTTTTACCCCATCGCGTAGTTCGGTCAGAGATCAACGCCTTGCACTCCAGCAAGGCATAATTTAACACGAACCAACCCGGCATTATAAGCGTTAGATAAAGTTGTTCAAAATACATAAAAGTCGTTAACCTGATGTGAACCATAAAAGAACGCCATGATGCATATAAGCTGACAACAAAACATAAAAATCACTCCAAAAACAAATTTTTGGGTATATTTCTCTAAAGAGTCATCACAATTTTTTTCCAGTCTGCTCATATAATGATCATATATATAGTGCACGTTTTATAGAAGAGATGATGTTTCTCCAGAACCTTGCCAGTTCCGAGAAACATAGGTGAGTCGTTTTACCTCGGCGGGGCGACTTGCCCCGGTCTACCCTATTTACACATTCTCTCGCATCTTACGAACAATCATTTCCATACCTAACAAATTGTGATTTTTATATATAATTTCATGCAGTAAAACGCCTTATACCTATTCATTTCATATTCTGGATAACATTTGGCACTTAGCAGTTAGCAGTAAGGTATAGGCTTCATACAGTCCATCAAAAGTGAAAAGAATTAACATTCTGGTTATGGTCCTCAAAATACCTAAAGATTATGTCAGCACAGAAAGAAGAATACACGCTGTTGACATGAGCCTCCGACGATTATCTAACTTCCTAGTCATTTCGCATAAATTAAGGCAGTAACACTAACATCAAAACATTCATAACTCAATCATTACAATTAGGTACCTATTCTGCAAATGCGGTCACAAATTACGATGTTGATACATGCCTTGTCTTTTTCTGCAACAATACAGTGCCACTGATATAGAGGAAACAACTAAGGAACTATGACAAGTATGAGCGAATTTCTCTTGTCAACCAGCCACGAAACAGTGAACAAGTGGGTAAGTCGAGCGAGTGTCAGCAATTAAAAATAATCAACAGCAGGAAGCAGGTAAAGTCAACCGGCCGCCAGATGGCAGGCCGATCACGCGCCATCCACCTTCGTACGTCGACGGTTGTTGACGAAAACGCCGATCAGAACGACGGCGACGACGACCACCAGCACGCCGATGACGATGCCGGCGATGGCTCCGGGCGACAGTCCGTCGTCGGGGGGCGCCGGCACGGCCCCCATGTAGAGGATGGCTGTGTTGGAGACGGCGCTCCAGTTGTCGGCTGGGGGCGGACACGGGCTGCCGTGAGTCTTCATGGATGGGGAATAGGCAGTTCGGGTCTAAACTTCTCACACTACCCACTGTCGGTGATTGAACATGGTGCCATTGCTTATTTTTAACGGCAATCGACCGCATTTCCAACGTTCAAGCGTTGGGAAATGCCAATAGGAGAAGCGAGCTTCAAGTAGGGACTCACTCTGGTCGTCGCGAGTGCGCATGGCCATGAAGAAGCTGCTGGCCTCCAGTCCTTTGGGGACGTCGATGGTGAGCGTCTGGATGGTGCCGCTGGTCTCTGGTGCCGGCACCAGCGTGGCGTTCACCAGCACCCCCTTGGTGAGGAACTGGGACGGCGACAGGTCGCTGGACACGTTTGACCACCGGAACTCGTACTCGGTGGCTGGAAAACGGGTAGATGATACAAGTGAACACGAAATGAGTGAAAACCGACATATAGGTACGACTGAACACGGGATGGGTAGAAACGGACAGATACTACAACTGGACAGGGGGTTAGGATGTGTCAAACTGCAGGGTAAGCACTAGGCAGCACAACTGAACACAGACTCGGTGACTGAAAAGGGACAGTGATGGCAGACGGGACTGAACTTTGGAGCTGGGTGTTAAATGCAGTATCATTTATAACAACACCACACATCACCCTTCCGCCTGATTTTCATCCATTCCTAGTCCGTGAGCATTTGGCATATATCCAGAAACCTTCATCACAGTATCATATACCATAGCCTACCGACATCTTACCGGTTCCCTGGTCCAGGTCGGCGCCGGGAGCGGTCCACTGGACAGTGGCGGTGTTTTTGGAACGGGACCGCTGCTGCAGCACCAGATCAGTGACCTGACCCGGCGGCAGGATGCCCTTCTGAGGGTCATTCATGATCTGGAACGCTCCGGCACTGATTGTTCGCGTGAAGTTTCCTGTCAGAAGGAGAGAGCACGATAAAACGGTAACGCTTCTCCGCGCGCGTAACATGCGAGGAAGCTAGACTTGATTTGTTTCATTTATCCCGCGCCTCGCTGGGGGGGGGGGGGGCAGAATATGCACCCTCCCGTTTTTCGCCAACAACTTCTAAACGCGTTATGCCAGCGACGTCAAATTTTCAGTACCTTATTGTACATCAAGTTGACACGTTCTCTGAAAGTTTGAGCGAAATCCGTTGGAATTTTTTTTGAGAAAATGACGTTTAAGTGACGTCATGTCACGCCATTTTCGCCTCAAAAAACGGCAAAACTTCAAACGCCGCTAACATCTTCATTTTTAAAGAAATCAAGACGCAGAAGAAGGTTATACGTGTTTTTACTTTGTCTATCAAATGGCTATCTCGGTTTTTTGAAACTTTTGAATTTTGGCCCTTTTTTTCTTGAAAAATCTGACTTTTTTGGAAAATAATTTAACCCGGCCGGGCCCGGGGGGTAATCCCAACCACCGCAGCCCGGGGGGCGTTTTTCGCCCCCCCTGTCTAACTCCGTAAATAAGGGAGCTACGGAAACAAAAGCGATACCAAATGAAAGGTCCTTACGAGACGATTCTAAAGCACCTAAAATTTTTGACCTCAGGTCAATTTTCAAGGTCAGAGGTCAAGGTCAAAGGCAAAAACTGGCACATGTGTAATGATCTCAAAGTAAGCCTTCTAGAAGACGGCAGGCGGCATCAAACCGGCAAAATTGGGTGTCAAACGAAAGAAGAGAATCTGAGGATTCTGAAAATGTGCTCAAAGTGAAAGGTCAAGGTCAAGGTCACGCTCAAAATTGACCTCAAACTTGGCACTTTTTCGCACATCTTGCGTGCTAACTTCCAATATGTTTTGAAATGTTTTGAGGCTTATCAGTTCCCTATTTGTGGTTCATCTTACGATACAAGGCTGCTCAAAGGTCAAGGTCACTGAAGAGTATCCCTGCTAGAGGCTATTTCACTAATTCAAGTTAGTAATAATAAATAAGACAATTTTGCCATCCGGAAGCTCTAAATGAAGGCTTAGAGGAAAATAGATGCCAGATTCGTGATCAGCGTGTACAAATACATCATAAACGACCTTTCATGTGTCAAGGTCAACCAGAGGTCATTCGAGGTCACATGAGGTCAACATAAAACTTGACCTTTTCCGAACAAAATATATATCATTCGACGCGGCTTGACAAGGCGAATGCGATGGTACCACTGCCGTAGCTCTAGGACCATTTTTGTCGAAGTTATTTGCGAAAAACTAAAACCACATTTCGGGGTCGTTGACCTGACCTCTGACCTCAGGTCACCAAAACTATTTTTCTATTTTTCTCTAGGTCAAACGCTACACAACCGTGCTCGTAATTTGTCTTTATCTCTAAAACTCTATTTTTAGCAGCTATTTGAAGTTTGCGTCTGTGACGCCGAAGTTTGCCGTGCAGGCGTCTAGAAAAATGGACCTTGTGACGTCATCAAGGGGGCTAGGTCCAAATTTTTTACTTCAGAAGATGTCAAATTGATGGGAGAAAAGGTACTGAAAGTTTCGCTTTCCTATCCCTAAGCGTTTGGGAGCTATCGCAAATATTCGCCAGGGGGGGGGGGCGAAAAACGCCCCCCCCGGGCCCGCGAGGGTTAAAAATCCAAAATTTTGAGCGTATAAAAAACGGAATATATTCAAAGAAGTGGTCTATGTGCACTTACACCTACCAATTTTTAGAAGAATCGGTTCAAAAATGTTGAAGCTATTCAAAATGATATTACGTCACGACACACAATTCCTTCTTTGGAAAATTATTTTTCTTGGAATGTTTAGACCTCGTACGGGAACTAAAATAGCACCATTCGATTCGCCGTGTAAAACTGCATCAGATAGACACCATTTTAGGTCTAAACAACCAACTTCGAAATTTGACCTTACTTGACCTGACCTTGACCTGACCTCGACCGAAGATGCATCCAGATGTGGTCCATATCACTTATTGAGTGTGCCTTTTGGATTCTATGAATAAAATGACCCATAAAATATATTTCGCACATGCCCTTTCTAGATTTCGTTTTTGGTGACCTGACCTGACCTTGACCTTGACCCTTGCGTGATATTTTATGCCTCAACTATTGTCTTGGTAGCCTAAGAACACGTTTTGGGCAATCAGTCTCAGTCCATTCTTCGGCAACTACGGTGCAAGGCCGATACTGTAGAAACTTGCATTTTGCACCCTTAACCTGACCTTGACCTGACCTCAGACCTACTTAAGCAAAAAAATAGCTCTTAAGATTTGCGTTGTTGAGAGCTTTCGATTGCCGTTTTCCCCGTCTTTCTACGACTATCGATTCGGAAGTTAGACAGGGGGGGGGGGCAGAATCTGCCCCCCCCCCCCAGCAGGGCGCGTATGGCTGAATAGCCCAGCGGGGCGCGGGTTATGACACCCTTGTTCCTGACAAACAAAACAAAAAGTGAATTATTTAAACGGGTCGCTGCCATATTTACCCACCGATGGGATAAGTTTTTTTTTAATATTTTCGTTGCCCGACCCGGGCTTTTGTCGTTAGTAGCACATATTCATACTGGGTTAGTACACTATATACACGGCAGTGGTACGAATCGTTTTCGGCACCCGCTACGCGGGACAGCCTTGACCGCACGCTTCCTGTCACTCACCCCAGGTGACACCGCACTGGTGCGCACGCTGGGGCTATCCCGCTTTCTCGGGCCCGGCAGGTCAGAGGGCTGCTCCGGGACATGAAGCGAGGCCGTGCCCTCGGGACATGTCACCGGACCGAAGGATCTGTTTAAAGGCGGATCAGGCCCGTGTACCTGCGGCCGGGGGCGCTGGCTGGCACAGCGGTAATCCCCAAGACCGAGCAAACACTCCCTAGTTACTGCCATCTCCTGGGTAGGAGCCGGCCGAGGAAAACGCTGCCAGAGGTCAGCTTTGATCCAAGGACCTCCCACACCAAACGTGAACGCACTTGCCAACTGCGCCACAAGGGTGGTACGATGGGATAAGTGCTACCATATGAACGGCTAAACACACAAGTGGAACGTGTGGTGCCACATATGTACTAGTGGTTTAACTTCCAATTTTGCCCAAAGCGAGAGCAATTCCAATTCTTTTTCGATTATTTTGCATTTTTGCGTAAATTTTAAAAGCGCATTGGCCTTGTGTTCCGATGAATTTCCAAAAAATCTTAAGAATTCCGTTCAAATTCCAAATTGAAATTGTAAAAAATGGAATTTCAAGAACAGAAATTCCGATTGGCACCACTAATAGCCGTTTTCACGAAGGGCTATCCGGCGAGTGCACCTAATTTGACCAAAGATGCACCTAATCTCTTTTACAGCAAATATATTTATTTTATGAATTTATTTCAGTGTTTTAATCGACGATACTCTGATAATATGACAAAACAGGCACATAAGTAAATAGTGCAACACTAGCTGATAGCTACTAAGAGACACACTGAACCTAATTTGACCAAAGCTTCACCTAATCTGCACCAGATGTGCACCAAATATGTACCAGATGGTCGTCGTGAAACGGCTAATCTATATTATGAATATGTACTTATATTTAGGACGGGAGTTACCATATGTAACCGGTGGGATAAGTACTACTACATATGTGCACCCACCGGTGGGACGGGTGTTGCCGACGGGACTCGTGCTGCCACAGCACCACGAGCTGTCGCTGTTCTTGGGGTTCGGCATGGCTCCAGAGGCGCTGAAGCCCTCGTTGATGACTGCGTTACCGTCGTTTCGTACCTCGCAGACCACCGAGTACCGACCCTGGAAATTTGATCATTTTAAAACAAAATAAGCCGTGACGAAGGGCTGAATTGGCAGGAAAGTGGCTGGCAACAACTCAGTACCTATCTATTGACAACGCTGCAATGCTCCTCATCAGCTGGGCAGCCGATGATTGTGCAGTACGTGCACGTGTTTGACTTCGATGTTCAGTGGAAACTCCAGTTTACCTACACGACTTATTGTGCTAGCAAATCCATTTGATGCTATTCTAGCGACCAACAATCGCTAAGAGCCTGAAGCTGCCCCTGCACTGTGCGCTGACCCAAGGTCTCTTCACCTGACCTTAGGTGGGCACGACTGTTCACCTTTTTGTTGAACTGAGTAAAGTACTTGGTGTAGATGCCGTCATCGCGGATGGCGTCGGCTCCCACTCCAGTATCGAGCAGCTGCATATCGACCACTCCTGAGGTTGAGTCAGGAGTCGTGACATGTGCCCTGTTACGGACAGAGGTACGGTCAGGCGGAATAGCATTAGGTACAGCGGAGGCTGGTGATTGGTGAGCCGCGTCTGGTAATAAATAGGTGATAATATCGCATATATTCGAGAGCTCTATGGGGAAAGTGCGACATTTAGATGATAGCGCTCGGGAGGAAACGTCAACTTCAAGACAGCTTCACAAAGTTATGCCAGAAGCTGACATTAGTGATCCGAAGACAGAGCTACTCACATGACAGTGGCCTGGAGGACGGCGTTCTGTCCCTGGCGCACCTTCCCGAGCACCGAGAGCCGGGTGTTTTTGTCGACCGTTACCTGGCCGGTACTGCCGATCCAGCACTCGACTGTCAGCGGCAGCACATCGTGGGACCTGCAGAAAAGACGCGGTGGGGGGGGGGGGGAAGGGTGACTTAACAGGGACGGGAGATTAGAGGGTCTAGGTGGAACAGGAGCGTGTATGTTTGGGGGAGGGTCGGTCATTGAACAATGAGCATGTAAGGCTGAGTGCATGCGGAAAAGGACCTGATGACTTGCGTGTGCTAGTTGGAACGTTTAAGCATACAACCCTTCAAACCCAACCCAACATAACCCAGATAATGAAATTAGACCGGCATATAACTAGTGTATACTGTATAACATGTTATATTTTTAAGGGCCACTTGAAGTCAAGTCGGCTAAGTGGCAAGCAGCGGCGTATTTAGAAAATCGCGAAGGGGGGGGGGCCAAGGGTTTGGAGGGCGCCACCTCACCCAAGGAGGGCGCCATACGGTCGCGAGATAAAAAATCGCTCAGTGGGGGTTGGGGGGTTGGGAGGCGTTTTTTACCATGCCACCAGTTTTTTTTTTTTGCGTAACCTCGTATAGGTCGTGCTGCATTGATTTTGCATCGTGTGTATTCTTTATACTCCAGGTCACAAAAGGTCAAGTGTTCTTGAAATGCTGCGCCGAAGGCGCGCGAAATTTTTGAAAACAACCTTTTCCTCCGCTTTTTTAGGCACGCCTTTTATACGATCACTGTATAAAGCTCCTCTCGCTCTTTTACCAAATTTGAAGGTGTAAAAAATACCTAAGGTTTGGTCGGGCCGCTGCCACACAAACTGTAGGTGTAGGTACAGAAAGCTTGGCTCATGGGTGTCGATGTATAAAAGTTTATTGGCGGTGGCATATCTACGCACCAGATCACCGTATCGGATTGATACCGGAGCGCGAGATGCGTAAACATCATCCAAATTACCTCAGACCAGCCTTCATAGCCTTCTCACAGATGCATACAGTGTACCCACATAACCAGTTTCAATCACCGAAACTTCAGATGCCTGCTGTTGCGCCCGAACCTGTTGACAATACTTAATCGTAATCCATATAGATGCCATGATGCACGTAAAGTAGGATCAATCCCAAAGACGTGTTTTATGCATCGTAGAGCGTAGATAGTTTTGGTAGGTATAGATACTTCATTCATTGTGCTGAATGCACGTTCATTTGTGGCAGTTTTCACAGGCAAGACATCAACTATGTGCAATAGAACGACTAAGTTGAAAAACATGCCAAAGGAGTAAATAAATGATAGGAGGGCAGCGATCAACGGATGTTGCCAATAGGTAGAAGGGCTGCGATCCACAGGAGGGCACTAATAGGTAGAAGAGCCCCGATCAACATCCCGAGTTTCGACAGTAGGGCACCGATAGGTAGGAAGTTGGCGAGCAGCAGGAGGGCGCCAATGGATAGAAGGGCAGCGATCAACAGGAGGGCACCAATAGGTAGGAGGGCGCCGATCAACAATCAACAGGAGGGCGCCACCAGGTAAGAGGGTGGCGAGGAACAGGAGAGCACCAATAGGAGGGTGGCGATCAACAAGAGGTCGCCAATAGGTGGGAGGGCGGTCATCAACTGGAAGTCGCCAATGAGCGGAAGGGTGACGATTAAAATGGGGGTGGCAATGGTGAGGAGGGCGCCTTTGCTCAAGAGGATGACATGAACAGGAGGGCGTCTGTGCGGAGGGCGCTGGTCAACAGGAAGGTGCCAGTGGATAGGAGGGCGGTGATCAACAGGAGGGTGCCAGTGGTTAGGAGGGCGGCGATCTACACGAGGGCGCCAATAGGAGAAGGGCCCCGATTAACATTCAACAGGAAGGACTAGGGAACCAGTGGCGCAGCCAGGGGGGGTCAGAGGGTCAGCTGACCCCCCCGAAATTTCTGTCAGGGGCCCGCTCGAGAGAGAGAGTGAGAGAGAGAGAGAGAGAGAGAGAGAGAGAGAGAGAGAGAGAGAGAGAGAGAGAGAGAGAGAGAGAGAGAGAGAGAGAGAGAGAGAGGAGAGAGAGAGGTCCTAATCTAATCGGACGAGCCCGCTTCGAGAAATGCCCACTGCGACACCTCGGGTGAGGGGTCGGCCTGGGGCCCCAGGTGGACAGGGCCCGGGCCCCCAGGAGAACGGGCCCGGCCCCCTGGGTGGATGGGACCCGGGCCCCCTGTAGATGGGTCCGGGCCCCCGGGTGGATAGGGCCCGGGCCCCCCGGCGGATGGGGCCCCGGTGGATGGATCCGAGCCACCGGGAGAACGGGCCCCGGGTGGACGGGGCCCGGACCCCCGGGTCCCGTGAGAACGGGTCCAGGCCCCTCGGGTGGATGGGGCCCGAGGCTCCGGGAGAGCGGGCCCGGGCCCCCCGGGTGGACGGGGCCGGACCCCCGGTTGGATGGGGCCCGGGCCCCGGGAGAACGGGCCCGGGCCCCCTGGGTGGATAGGGCACGGGCCCCTGGGTGGATAGGGCACAGGCCCCGGGTGGATGGGGCCCGGGCCCCGGGAGAACGGGCCCGGGCCCCTTAGGTGGATGGGGCACGGCCCCCCGGGTAGATGGGGCCAGGGCCCCCCGATGGATGGGTCCGGGCCCCCGGGAGTACGGACCCCAGGCCCCGGGTGGACGGGGCCCGGGCCCCCGGCTGGATGGGGCCCGGGCCCCCTGGTGGGCGGGCCCCGGAGCCCCGGGTGGACGAGGCCCGGAGCCCAGGTGAACGTGGCCCGGGCCCCCGTATGGATAGGGCTTGGTCCCCCATGTGGATAGGGCCCGAGCCCCCGGGTGAATGGGGCCCGCTAGGGTGACCCGCTTGCTTCGCAACGCGAATAAGGGGTATTTTCGATCGGTGGGCGTTTGGTTGGTCTTGTGTCTGTGGGTTATGTATCCATTACGGTCGATTGCCTTTTGACGGCTAAGCATTTTGGTTTTGGGAAAAAATATCCATCGCATCGAGGTGCTCGTGTCTGATAATAACCATGCGTTCTACTATAGAACATGCCAAGTGTATTTCATGACATAGGTTGGCGTAGGGTATTGAAGAGTGAAAGCCATCGATGAATTACTATGTAGAGGTTTGAAACATTTATTTTCTTAAGAATATTGTTGCTCGTCATGCAAAAGCGATGATTGGACCTTGGTCACAATTGAATGCTCTTCCAATCTATGCCCATTTCAATTGTCAAACATACCAGGTTATGTAGCAAAACCCCTGTAATTAAGTAAGTCATAAGCAAATGCTATTTTCTCCAGCAATTTGTTCCACCTTGTTTTTGATCAATTAGCTTTTCACAATTTTCCCATGAGAGGCGGTAGGTACATTTCTCTTGCCAACAAGCGTTGTTTGAACCCGCTCCGTCTGACAGTCACCCAAAAATAGCATTAAGTCCAAAATCCGTCCAAAACGTCAATTTTCAAGCATAAGTGCCCTCACGGGTGCACGTGGCGCGTGCCATCCCTGCACCGCACACCATTCGATAGCCCGTTCGATTCTCATGCACGATACTGTGTTCCTCGTGCCGATCGGACCCACGGTTACCGAGATACTGCACGGGGACCGGACCCGTGTCGGGCAAGTTGAGCCATTGTCGCCCATTTTTGCAAGCCGATTTATGCATGTAACGTCTATGACGCGAATTTGCACTTTTTGAGCACGCGCCATGTGCTCACCACCGGCCCGATCGAGCTGTGACTCTTCACAGGCACGTTACCCATCCTTGTTCTATAAGTTGCGCGAATTTCAGCGCACTATGGAAGTTACGTCGCGATCAGCCGCTTTTTTACGCGAGTTCTTCGCGAAAAAAACCTTAGGGGGTTGCATCAACCCCTCCCCCCTGTGCCGGCGAGGGTTAAAACTTCTTACGAGCGAATTCACGTAATGAAGAAGAATAAAAGCACAATCTACTACAGCAGCGAATAGATGACTTAGGACAGGCACATGGGACTACTTTTAAATCTTGTGCGACAGAAGCAGGCAACAGTTCCGATTGCATATAATATGCTATGCATATTGCGGAATTGGGGCTCATATCGGACTCGAAAGATACGAAGTCATACGTCATAGTAACATATTTCTGTCGTGGTCAATTTGCGTAAAAAGTGAAGACCGGGTGATTACCGAGCTACTGTTCTATGCAAATTTTCTGATTCAAACTCGCTCAGGGTTATCGTGCAGGTAAAGGGGGCCCGCCCAGCAGAATGCGTATGAAATATGGAGAGATTCTGAAAAATGGGTGGGGGCGCGCACACTAGGGGGCCCGCTTTGGAAGCGATGACCCCCCCCCCCCCCCGAAACGAAATCCTGGCTGCGCCACTGTAGGGAACCAATAGGTAGGAGGGCGGCACTGAACAAGAGGGTGCCAAAAGGGAGAAAGGCGGCCTTCAAAATTTCACATGAGGGCGCAATAGGTAGGAGAGCGCCAATAATTATGAGGACGCCGATCAGCAGAAGGGCGGCAATGTGTAGCAGGGTGGCGACCTACAGGAGGGCGCCTTCGGGTGAGAGGGCGCTTATTTACAGGACAGCGGCTTACATAGGCGACCACCGTTACGCTTAGAGAGCTACAGCCTACAAATGTGGTTGGAGGGCGCCCGAGGGAGCCCTCCAACCGTATTTGGAGGGCGTATTTGGAATGGGCGTCCTCCGAGGGCGCCCTCCATCCGTATTTCCCTGTAAACACATTCGCGATTGGAGGGCGCCCTCCAGTCGCGATTGTTTTTCGATTCGATTATATCACAATTGCATTTGCGATTGGAGGGCGCCTTCGGCGCCCAAGGGGGGGGGCCATGGCCCAGTGGCCCCCCCCCCTGCCTACGCCCCTGGTGGCAAGTGACAACTCCGTTGACAACTTCATGGGAAAAGGTGCAAAAGCTTAGTGCTCATCACTCATCAGAAGTAATCAAATACTTTACCAGTTTAAGCGTATTCTTTCGTTATTAGAACATTTGGACTTGTGTGACGTTGTAAGTATATGTTGTAGGTATATATAAGTTTAGGTATTCGAAGTGTTTCGTCAATAAATCCCGATCAAATTGAACTAGCGAGTCGGAAAAGGCACTAATGCGCTGAATGGTGGATACCTAAGCTGAGCGGCATTGTACTGCCCCCATGGCCTAAAGTCCAACACCTTTGACCTTTCCAAAGCAAAAGGCTCATTATTCGAAGCAACTGAACTTGACATATGTATGTGATGCACCAAAATCTCTGCTAAAGAAACATTTTGGCGAGGATCTGACCGTACTGAACCCTACCAGAAATCGAATCTGGCTTACCACACAAAACTCGGATTTGAGACTCATCGAAACTGCCTTTAACCCGCGCGGGGCTGGGGTCTCCAGCCGAACGCGCGGGGCTGGGGGGGGGGGGGGTAAATTTTACCCCCCCCCTGTTATCTCCCGAACTAATGGTCCGATTTGGAAAATTCAAACGCCAATCGAAAGCTCTCATCACGAACTACTAAAAACATGTACTTAATTTAAAGTTTGAGGTCAAGGTCAAGGTCAGGTCAAGGGTACAAATTGCAAGTTTCTACAGTATCGGCCTTGCACCGTAGTTGCCGAAGAATGGAGTCATGGACTGAGACTGATCGCCCAAAACGTGTTCTTAGGCTACCAAGACAATATTCGTTGCATACAATATCATTCAGAGGTCAAGGTCAAGGTCAGGTCAGGTCAGGTCAGGTCACCAAAAAACAAAATATAGAAAAGGGCATGTGCGACACATGTTTTATGGGTCATTTTACTCATAGAATTCAATAGGCACACTCAATAAGTGATATGGACCACCTCTGGATGAATTTCAGGTCGAGGTCAGGTCAAGGTCAGGTCAAGTGAGGTCAAATTTTGAAGTTGGTTTTTAAGGCCTAAAAAGGTGTCTATCTGATGCAGTTTTTCACGGCCAATCGAATGGTGCTATTTTTGTTTCCGTACGAGGTCTAGAACTTCCAAAAAAGCCATTTTTAAAAAAATTGTGTGTCGTGACGTCATAAAATTTTGAATAACTCCCACATTTTTGAACCGATTCTTCTAAAATTTGGTATGTAGGTGCACATAGACCACTTCTCTGACATATATTCCGGTTTTTTCGATAGACTCAAAATTTTGGATTTTATAATGATTTTCCCAAAAAAATCAGTTTTTTGAAAAAAATTAGGCCAAAATCCAAAATTTTCAAAAAACCGAGATAACCATTTGATAGACAAAGTAAAATTACGTATAACCTTTTTTGTTACGTCTTGATTCCTTTAAAAATGAAGATGTTAGCGGCGTTTAAACTTTTGCCGTTTTTGAGGCGAAAATGACGAACATGACGTCACTAAAACGTCAATTTCTCAAAAATTTCCGACGGATTTCGCTCAAATTTTCAGGGAACGTGTCAAATTGATGTAAGAAAAGGTACTGAAAGTTTGGCGGCGCTGCGCGCCGCCGTTTTTGAGATATCGCAAAAATTCGCGAGGGGGGGGGTAAAATTTACCCCCCCAGCCCCGCGCGGGTTAAACTCCAGAAGTATGTGAATGACCTCATGCGCTTACCGTGCTTTTGATGTGGTGGTGATGACCATGTCTACTGAAGCCCTCGTGAAAGTGATGTTAAAACTCCAGTCACCTTCCTGCAACAACGAGATCACCCAACGGGATCAATATAGGACACGATGGAAATGCGACTTGCATACAGCGTAATGCGTATCTCAAGCGTTGGTATTGGTTGCATTTTACTCGAAATGAACAAATCTACGACCAGTGGCGCGGGAACCGGGAGAGGGGGGGGGGCTAGCGGGGGCTGAGCCCCTTCAACTTTTCGGCTGGAGGGGGCTCGTAATGTAAATTTGAGCTCCCCCCCCCCCCCAGCTGGAGGAATCGAAATAGGAAATCTGCCAACATAATTTCATAGATTCATACATAAGCGCGGGAACCGGGGGAGGGGGCAGTGGGGGAAGCTTGCCCCCACAACTGTGGGGCCGGGGGTGGTGCTCCACAACTTTTCATGAGGTCAAGAACCGTTGGGGCAGCTTGTTCTCCACAAATTAGTGGTTGTGGGTCAAAAAGGAAGAAAGCATGTAAGTGAAAAATCCACCTCTTTCACTGGCTCGGCAACTCATTGGCAGATCAAAACCTTTATTTCAGGTTGCCAAAACGGCAGTTCCTTCACTCAGTTGAGACATAATTATTTTTTTGCAAATATTTTCGTTTTTTTTTTTCGTTGAAAAGGCCAAGGTCCATGAAAAATAAGTGGCCTAAAACCGGTGAGAAAACTTGATTTGTGGGTACCCTAGGTTGATCTCTATTATGGTTGAACCCCCCCCCCCCCCCAGTCTTGAAGAAGCCTGGAAGACAGGTTTTGAGCTTGCAGATCGATCTTCAAGCGTGCAAAAGTTCCCGCGAAAAAAACGCATTGGGGATGATCGAACACCCCCGGCCAGGCGCGGGCTAAGTCGACCTACCTCAGCCATTGGCACTTCGATGGTTCCGAAGTTCTCCCCGGAAACGTAGGTGATATTTGTGACATGTGCTCCGCTTGGAGACAGTAAGATGACAGAAGAGATCTTGCTTGGAGCTGAGGCGTCGGAATACTCGATTTTGAAGATGAGGTCACGGCCAGTGGTCGGGTCGATTGAAAACATGCCGGAGAAAGAGTTCACAGCAGAGGCTCCAATGTGCTGTTGGAAAAGCTGTCGAAGATATCGAAACAATTAAATCAAACACCGCACCATACCAATTACGGACGTTCAATGTGTTAACACTTGAGCAAGGATGCACTGGGATAGTGTTACACGAGCAAAACATGACGGAATCGCGTTATATAAGCCCTACTCGACTAAATCAGAAGTCTGTCTGATCCATGATCTATCTTTAAACTCTTTGGGCAGGAACATTGTCTTCAACTTGAAAATTATTCGATTATCCGTGGCCGTCGACTCTTTTCACTAACCACGATGTCCTTTTCGGTTTCGACGGTGATGTCCGGTTGGTAGGTGAGGCAGCCCTGGAACGCCTGGTCCAGGTCCAGAGCCGCCTTTGTATCGTCGATGAAGTAAGTCCTCCCACCGCTTATTTCGGCAAACTTCTCCAGCCTTGTGTCTGCGCTGGTGCTGTAACCAAACACTTCAATTCAGCTGAAAATTTACAAATGAGCATAAGAACAGTTTGGTATAATTATAAACAATGGTGTTTATGTGCATCAAAGAGCAAAAGCCCACTCCCACGTTTGTTTAAAGGGACCCTCCCACCTTAACATTAGATTTGAGTTGAGATAGCCAAAATGGGGTCCCTGGCTCACAATTACCGGTTTCGGCACTCACAACATCGAGAAATGCCTTAAATCGGAAATATTGAATTTCAAAATTGCAGCATTTTGATTCAGAGGGGCTAATGCTTAGGAATACCCCTCTGAATGTGTGACGTCAGCGCAGATATCTAACGATTTTTAAATGTTTGACTAAAACGTTTTGTAGCACGCGGTGGTATATGCTGCTTTGCGCGCAACAAGTGCCGCACTTTCAGCTGCCAAACTATTGCTTCCAAATAAAGTCGCTAGGAACAGCGGAGATCCCAAAAAGTAAACAAAAGTAAAAGTCTAATATCTTGAAAACCGGTGAATATTTTTCGGTGAAATTTGGTAGATATTCGTTTTCGCTCTTTCTGAACCGAGCGACATCACTTTCATGCCAATTCATAAACTTTTTTGAAGGTGGGAGGGTCCCTTTAACAAAATTCAAGCTGTCAAAATACATTGCCATGGATTTCATCCGCCGTGACAACATGCCAAGGCAACTACCTCGCTACCGTTTTTACTTCATAGCCAACGTTGATGAAATACTATATCAGGACAAATCTGGAATTATTTTATGTATATTGTATAATTAACCAACAACCGAAAGTTGTCGCTCCCCTTACCCAAAGGCCATGGTGACCACAATGACCTGGGCCTCCTCTACCGGTCCGTAAAGATCGGTCATGTCCCATGAGTGACCGGGTGCATTGGGGTTGACGCAACCGGTATTCTCGTCACCGTCCGTCATAAGAATAATGATTCCACCGGGTCCACCGAGGGCTTTTTGCAGAGTCTGGAACACACATAATGTAAACGCCTCAGGTCATATTGTAATATAGGATGGGATATATTTCGCTATGGACTTTAGTTACACTTGCACGTAATACTCAGTTCAGCTGTGTCGTCATGAGCCGGGCACACTGGCGGATCCAGGGACGCGGTCTTGGATGCTGCGGGGGACATGCTCCCCCCCCCCAAAAAAAATCGCCAGATTCCGGGAGCTCATCGAATTTCGATCCCTTATTGCACTGCTGTGCAGTTCAAAACAAACTTTTCCTGATAAAAGTTGTTTAGTTTCGTTTTATTTTCGAAAAAACCGAAAATTGTCGTCATTTTGGGCGCTGCGGGGGATTACCTCAAATGCCTCTCCCCTGGATCCGCCAGTGGTCGGCGAGACAGGCAACTGTGATTCAGGCGATCGATCCGAACGGGTGCTGTGGCCTGTGTGCATGCATTTGCGCTCACAATGCTTTCTAATGCAACACTTAATTGATTAAATGAACTGTGCTAAAATTAACGTCTGACATTGCAGAAGACCATAACGAAGCCATGGAATAAGGAGGGGCAAAGAGAAGAAACATTGCCCTGTGAGGTGAGCCGACTGTTGTGGTCGAGTCCACGTCAAATCCGAAGGGAGGCCGTTGCCGAGCCTGCAGTTCAATGGGACAGTAGGAAGCGAGAATTCAGCTCGGGTGACCCGTCAAACCATCTCTGGCTGGTGATGCCGGAGAGCGAATTACTCGTATGTATGTTATGTATGTATGCCGACTGCAGTTTGTTGCATCATGGATGCAAATGCAGGTGCTGCGTAGTAGATCTACCTTAACCCGCGCCCCGCTTGGGGGGGGGGGGGCGGAATCTGCCCCCTCCCGTTTTTCGCCAATAACTTCAAAACGCTATAAGCCAGCGACGTCAAACTTTCAGTACCTTATTATACATCAATTTGACACGTTCCCTGAAAATATAAGCGAAACCCGTCGGAAAATTTCTGAGAAAATAACGTTTTAGTGACATGTTCGCCATTTTCGCCTAAAAAAACGGCAAAATTTCAAACGCCGCTAATATCTTCATTTTTTAAGGAATCAAGACATAACAAAAAGGTTATATGTGATTTTACTTTGTCTATCAAATGGCAATCACAGTTTTTTGAAAATGTTGAATTTTGGCCCAAAGAAAAAAAAACTAACTTTTTTTGGGAAAATAATTATAAATCAAAATTTTAAGTGTATCGAAAAAAAAAACGGAATACATGTCAGAGAACTGGTCTATGTGCACCTACGTACCAATTTTTATCAGAATCGGTTCAAAAATGTGGGAGTTATTCAAAATTGTATGACGTCACGACACACAATTTTTGAAAAATGATTTTTGGAAGTTGTGGACCTCGTACGGAAACAAAAATAGCACCATTCGATTTGCCGTGAAAAACTGCATCAGATAGACACCTTTTAAGGCCTTAACAACCAACTTCAAAATTTGATCTCACTTGACCTGAACTTGACCTGACCTTTACCTGAAATTCATCCAGAGGTGGTCCATATCACTTATTGAGTATGCCTATTGAATTCTATGAATAAAATGACCCATAAACCATGTGTCGCACATGCCTTTTTCTATATTTTGTTTTTGGTGACCTGACCTGACCTGACCTGACCTTGGCCTTGACCTTCGAATGGTGTTGTATGCAACGAATATTGTCTTGGTAGCCTAAGAACACGTTTTGGGCAATCAGTCTCAGTCCATTCTTCGGCAACTACGGTGCAAGGCCGATACTGTAGAAACTTGCATTTTGTACCCTTGACCTGACCTTGACCTGACCTCTGACCTACTTAACCCGCGCCCCACTGGGGTCTGCGTATAACACGCCCTACTGGGGGGGGGGGGGGCTATTCATAGTCCCCCCTCCTAACTCCGAAACTACTGGGCCGATCGTCAAAATTCAAACGGCGTCTGATAGCCCCGGAAAAACTGTCGAGCGAAACCTAATTTCATTGACCTCGAGGTCACTGATGACGTCACAGGTCAGGTCAAAGTAAAAATTATTAGCATTTTGGCTTGTTCACGTTTTGGGCTCTGGCCGCCGTCTTACAAGTCAGATCAGGCTCATTTTTGGTTCACACACTCGTGAACAGATGATCTAGATACCCTGAGGGTACCAAACTTGTACTTTGATTTTCAGGTCAAGGTCAGGTCATCACAGGTCACGAAAATATTATATCATGCGTCGGTCACGTGACACATGTTTTATGGTCCATTTAGGCCAAAGATTTCGAATTTGATGTCGTCTGTGTCATTCGAGGTCATTTTGAGTCGAATTTAGCTTAGGTCAGGTCACTTTCAGGTCAAAAAAGGTCAAATTTTGAAGTTATAATTTTTCAACAGAAAAGATGTCTGTTGGATGCAGTTTGAGCTCAGGAACACGATGGTGCTATTTATATTGGCATACGATGTCAAATACGCGGTGAAGAATTGATTTGAAAAATTAATAATTGTGAATTTTTTGCAATAATGCGTATAACTTGGCCATTTTTGAAGATATTTAGCTAAAACTTGCTAGAGTTATTCATAATAACGCGTTCTATCACATATATTCCGTTTTTTTCGAAAAGTCAAAAACTTTTTGAAAAAAATGTAAAAATGTAAATTTTGAATTTTATTATAATAAATTTTCAAAATTTTCAAAATTTCGAAAATCCGAGATAGCAGTTTGATAGCGCAGTCTATTCTGAGTCCTCTCATGCAAAGAAATTGGATCTAGCTTAAAAACTGAGCCCTTGGGAGCGATTGCCGTGGTTCAATGTTTTGCGTCGAAATCGGCCGAACATGACGTCACTCTGACGTCATTTCCGGCCGACCTATGGTAGCTACGAAGTTCAAATTTTGACACAAGGTGTCAAATTGATGCAGCCGAAGGTACTGAAAGTTTGGCGTCGATACGTCAAGCGGTTTGGAAGTTATTGCAGAAAAACGGGAGGGGGGCTTTAAATAGCCCCCCCCCCAGTGGGGCGCGGGTTAAGAAAACAAAAATTTGGGCTCTTAAGACTGCCTTGTTGAGAGCTTTCGATTGCCGTTTTCCCCGTCTTTCTACGACCATCGGTTCGGAAGTTAGACAGGGGTGGGGGGCAGAATCTGCCCCCCCCCCTAGCAGGGCGCGTAGGTATGGCTGAATAGCCCAGCGGGGCGCGGGTTAAAAAGTTTAGAGAACCATGAAGGTAAGAACCATTCAACTGGATATTGAGTGCCTATTTAACAGGATATGTTGATCCTTTGTGGGACAGTTGCCCCACTAAGGATAACGAGGCGTGATGTATGTTAACATGACATACATGACAGGTCACGAGGTGACCAATCATGTATTTTCTGACTCTTACCTTGAGGGCCTTGTCCAATCCGTTGCAAATGCAGGTGCCTCCACCTGCACTTTTCGGCACATAACTTGCCAGCCTGTTTCGAGAAGCGTCGTCCTCGATCTGTATGAAATCAGTTTGCAGGTATCCGACGGTAGTAAATGTTACGATAGATACCCAGGTACCGTTCTGGAGCTCGTACTTGATCCATTTGGTTGCTGCGTTGTTGAGCTGGGCGATCCTGCTGCCGCTCTGAAATGTATTCGTAGATGTTATATGCTGCTTATCAAGAGGCGATCAGAAAATAGTAGCAAGAACAACTTAAAATTGGAAACAGGATATCATATCTGCGCACCACCATGCAAGGCGGCTTAGTAAGGTTGGTATATTACCATCGTTTTGGGCAGCTGTAACCATCAGGATATTTTTCAACAAAGCTATGGCTTGACCGTGGATCGGGCTTAAATCACATAGGATGTATACAATGTACCGACACAATGTACAATGTATACTAACCCTCGCATGTGTGCGGCGTTTTCCAGCTTCTAATGTGTAGGGGGGGGGTCGGTTGGACCCCCCCCCCCCTTGCCGTTTGGCCCCTGATCGAGCTAGAGCTTCGCGGAAAAAACGAGCGTGTTGCCCGTGACGAGAGGAAGCCGATGATACCCAATTTTAAGGTCCTAGGTCATTGGTTGACCTTCCAGGTCAGGTCAATGACCCAAGGTCGGGAAAATCGGGACCTGTTAGAAAGTCGTAAAGTGTGGCTGCTAAGGGGTTTTCCGGGGTGCTGATCACGAATATCGTGTTAGTTTTGATCACAGATGATGTCTTTAAGCATTTAGACCAGGTCGGGTCAGGTCAGGTCAGGTCAACCAGTAGGCGTCGTGACGGGTATTAGTATTACGTGTCAACCGCCTCTGACAGCTTCGTAACATGTTACGAAGTCACCAAAACTACTTCGTAAATGTTCAAATGGTTGCTAAATTCGAATTCAGCTCCAAAAACTTGCCTAGAAACATGTAAAACTCGAAAAAGTGCACCGAGGTCACCAAAGGTCAATGACCTGACCTGACCTTCAGGTGACCTTGACACCCACCCTGATGCATGGGAGCAACATCAAATCACATGTTTGAACGTTTGAAACCACGAAAAGCTTGCAAACGCGCGGCTAATGCGAGCCGACATACGCGGAATCGCGATTCCGGCCAAACATGGTCTCGGAAAAGAGGTCACAGGTCAAAGGTCATTGGGGTCAGGGTCATGAAATTTTCAGGGTAGGTGTAAAATTGATCAATGCGAGGGTACTGAAAGTTTCGTCGCGATCGGCCGCTTTTTACGCGAGTTATTCGCGAAAAACCATGGGGGGGGTCCATCCGACCCCCCCCCCCTACACATGCGAGGGCTAAGTAAATACAGGTGAACGCACAAATGCGACTTTACGTACTGCACTATCCTTGTGTCACCAGTTTTAAAAAGAGCCTTTAAATTCAGATTTCTAGTTTTTCTCCTTTTTCTATTCGCTCAGGGACCATGCTGCTTGAAAACATAGAAAATCTGGATGTATTTAGTTGTAGGTATTTGTTTATCCAAAGTTGTTTGTATATCGAATATTTTCTTTCCTAGCTTGTTTCGAAAGAACCGTTTCGCATGCCTTCGTTAACGGCCCAGCTCCAGTCGGCCTACCTATAGGGGTAGGTTGCTTGCGGTTTGCAAACAATCTGCAGCATGCATAATGTCAGTTTCTGGTTATTTGTCTCACCATGCTGCCGGATGTATCGAGCACCAGGACGTAACGAGCGTCCGTCTGACGCACCACCTCGAACGAGGGCTCGATCTGGGTCGGGGTCAGGTCGGCCGGCGGGTTCCTGGTCAGACAGGTCAGAATGTTATTGCTTTACAGCACACCAGCATGAGAGAGAAGTCATGCGCGTATATATGCATGCCACGTAGATTATCTACACGCTACTCGTATGCATTAAAGTGTTATTGGTTGATGTTATCGTATTGAACATGCCTCCTAAAATGTGAATAACCATAGCTGCATGGTTTCAGCCATCACTGTATGATCGTCTATCCCTTAACAAGTAAATAGTCTATCTGTCCTAATGAGAGTTCAGCGCTAGTTCTTACGCGCCGCCGGCGAAGTCGTCGTTGTCGGCGATCACATCCCAGACGGATCTCTGGTTACAGCGGACGTTGTGCTTGTTGGGCGCGTCGGCACGGTGATGTTTCTCCTCGGTGCTGTCACAGAAGTGGCTCACCTGTCGAGTATCTGACGTCAATGATGGCATGACAGGGAAAAGGCCACATCATCTATCTTGTCTCTACCGATCGAAAGCGAAACACGTAGCCATGAATTATGAAGCCATTAAAAAAGTGAAGATGGTGGCATCGCATACTGCGTGTGTATTGTCTTTATTCAGCGTACCGTAAGCGTACTGCGGTTTCTCACTTCCTGCAATGCTCCACGTCTGTAGTTTGTTTGAAGGTTCAGATGCAGATAGAGATGAGGGACCCTCATTAGTCATTAGCAATGAATATGAATGAATGAATGAATGAATGAATAAAGGGACAAATGAATGGCACTAAAATAAATCAGCCTACCGATTCGAGGTAGGTGAACGACATGAGTGACGTCACGGCGTCGTTATCGTCGTACGGGTAGAACCAGCAGTCGCTGTCCGGCAGGCCCGTCGAATCGTCGAACGTGCAGTCGCTTCCACCGGTCTTTCGGTTGCTGTGAGCGAGAATTAATGGAACTGCAGACAGGCACATCAGTTTTGTATATGTCAAACAGCCTCGAGTCGATCGGTGCACATTTTACCAGATTGATGGCAAATACACGAGATGATATTTCAAACAGGAAACTTTATCAGCGTGCCGACAACAGACACATATCAGTGGTTCTTTCTGCACATTTTATGTGTCGGAACATGCTGCACATGCACGTGAACCGCTGGGTAGGGTCATACCGCTCATGCAGGTGGACGGTGCACTCACAAATATATGAATTTGCAATCTCAATTATATTTATCATTGCACTATTGATTGATCATTTTATTGAATGACAACGTTATGCATTTGCTTTTGTACATATGCCCAAGCTAAGCGAATGGGTAATGAATATACTATACATGAGGGGAAAGATGCAGCCCTGTACACTGTCATTATTGAAGTGCCCTATACATATAAGGTACGAGCAGACGTAAGCAATTACACCCACTAAGTCTGTCCCTTGAGGGTGGTGTTGGAGCAGAAGTTGGGCACCAGCAGCGGCTCGCCGTTATCCTGAATGCTGTAGTAGAAGAGCGGGTACGCCGGGTCGCCCGGGTAGCCGTACTCTTCGAACACGCCGTAGCGCAGGTGGGCCCACTCGTGAGTCACCACCTTGCCTGAAAACGTGCACAAATGATGTGTACCATGGTGTCAGGGCAGATGCTGGCACGATCGCAAGGCGACAATCTACAAGCAAACATTGCGAGCAGCATTCACTATCAAACTGCCCTCATGGCTCATGTTAGCTGAAGTCTAGATCAACAATCCGAGAGTGATCTTGAGATTAGATGCTTTACAACAGCAAACATTTTCATACCTTGAATGACGATGAAGTCACATGCACTGATAGTCACAAGCAAACAGCCAAATGTTTCAAAATCTATTTATCTTATCGACATGCACACCTCTCGCTGTGTGTGCGGACTTGCGGCCACCCACCTGCCGGTCCGAAGCGTCGCTTCATGGTGTCGTTGATGAAGCGCAGGTAGTCGGGCGTCACGTGGATGTACTCGCCCGGCTCGCCACAGCCGCCCGGCTGCAGCGTGTACGGGTTGTCGCCGTAGGCCGGGTTCGGCGGCGCCACGCGCACCTCCGACTCCTGCAGGATACCAAAATGACGTTAATAAACGATTAATAACATATTGAACTGAACACGAACAAACATAAAAAAATGCTGAGTTATATCAGGCGAAATTTTGTCATAACAATACACTGGTGAGCTCAAATGCTCTTATGTGTGAAAAACATACAGTACATACATACCTCGTATACTTCAGAATTAGCCATCCTGTCGATGGAGGTATTGGTCCACGTCATGGGAATGAGAATGGTGACCTTCTTGAAGTAGGCCCGCTTCTCCGTGGCAGTGAACAGAGCCGGTGACGCCTCTCGGAACATGGCCTAAAACAAAACAGCCAAAGATGTCGAACTCATTTCTGAATCTGGGGAAGTATGTGTGTGGCAACTTTTCGTGGTCGCCATTTCGTAGATGTGGCATATACAGGGTGATTTTTTTTAACTTTTAAAAAGTAAACGTCAATGGTGGCCCCTAAATAGAAAAATCTTGTGCAAAAAAGCAATGCACGTGATAGATAAATCTGGGACATTTTGTATGGTGTCATGATTTGTCCCTTTTAACCGAAGGCCTCGGCCCCAACGGAGCCTGAAAATGTCTCACCAATCGGGCACGCATGGTCCACCGCCGTTCAGTAAGGAACGACACAAAACGGTGATTTTGAAGCATTGAGGCAGTTCGAAGCATACGATCATCAAGGAGATACCTCAGAAAGACGTTAAATAATGCACGAACAAGCTTGTAGTCATAAATAACCTTCAAACGGTCCATCTGGCGTATGTGCAGCCTCTGAAGAATCAGTCTTCAGGGACAAACAAAAACAGCGAATCAGACACCACCAGGGTCGCCAGTAGCAAAATCCTCGACCTGCTCTTTCTATACTTCTAGTTTTTGGACCCAGGTATGGCAGATATAACAAGAAAACATTGGAAATATCTGGCAGAGCTGAAAATGGGTGATAGAAGCCTTTTCAGTCCGCCTAATGAGCATGGGAGTCCATGGTGCTGTTCAACACGTGCTCAGGCGGGCTGATTCGTGTTGGTGAGAGAGGGGGCAACTTCAAGCACAAGTAAAATACACGATGGACGTTCCTTCACATCGTGTCTGCATGAAATCAAAATGTCCCAGAATGCTCGTCATGCTGGTATATAATTTTACAATATATATTTGCATTTTAACGCCACTAAACCTCATTACTTTTTAACAAGTAAAAAAAAAAAATCACCCTGTAATCATGAAGGCAGGTGGCCATTTCTTTTTTGTTTTTACCCCATGGATAGAATGAAATACTGGGACATGTATGTCTGCAATTCAGGTCACGACAATAAGACGTTATCAAAGGAACAACTTATGACAAGAAATAAGAGGCCGAAAATTTATGCTTTCGACAGACAGCCCCTGACTTGAATGAGCAACAGGATGTCCCAGAAGCTTTGATGCCATTTCGGTGAAGTGTTACTCGCATGCGCACGCATGAAAATAAATACCAGTATAACGCCTTTTGGGGCGACTAACGGAGCGAGCGAGAGGGTGAGCCTTGCACGTGCGAAATTGCGAAATTGCTCCAACTAAGTTGTGCACGACACCCTACTAACCGGTCTCTAGCGATGTGCCAAATTTGAGCACAATCGGCCCAGCTGCTCTCGAGATCTGGAAACGGCACCCTGCACGTGCGCACGTGCAAAATGGGTCCCAACTGACTTGTGCACGGCAACCTGCTAACTGGTCCCTAACCGTGTACCATATTTGTGTTGGGGACGCGTAACCGTGTAACATTTATCCCCCAAACCCCCCATAAATATTAACCTAGAGCAACAAAATTTGCACAGGGGCGAAAACTTCAGAGGGCCCACCTACCTACCAAATTTGGTGTTTCTAGGTGCCGTAGGAGCCAATCGCGAGGGGGTGTCGCATCGACCCCCCCCCCCCTGCCAGGCCTGTTATGAAAAATGCCCTGGCAGGGCGAGGGTTAATATAACTATATGCATTATGCAATGCAAAACGTGTGCCAAATATATGCTGGCAAGTGCACCAAACTTGACAAATCTAAGTAAATGTCTGTTACAAATCTATTCATTCAATATTTATCCTTTATTATACGTTTGATAACCCACTCAATTACACAAACATCATAAAGCCGTTTTAACTTTTCCAGCCGTAACTTTTCTCGAGCGTTCTAAGCGCCTCGCACCTTGATGGCCTCGATGAGCTGCGGTCCGTCGTCCTCGGGAACATCCTTGGAGATGCCCACCACCAGTCCCGAGTAGCCGTTGTCGGTAATGGTGACCTCTGCCGAGGCGGCGGCCAGCAGGCCAGCGGCGACCGCCAGCGCCGTCAGAGCTCCGAGCGAGCAGCGCGTCATCGTCCGCGGAGACGTGCCACCAGCGCCACCGACACCGGTCGAATGACGCCTGACCAACCGAGCCGGCCGGCAGGCGGCCCATATCGCATCCGGAAATCACAGCCAGACGTCTGAGCAATAAGTGCTATCGCAGCAATTGTGGTCAACATGATACAAATGCGCAATGATTACTCACAAAGAAGTACCGAGCGCGAGAGAGCTCATGTGATCAAAGCATGATATGCCGTCGATTGCGCTTAAGAACTCTGCCGAATACTCGTATGTCTTGTGACATGCGTTCAGATGCATTGCGTGGTAGCAATCGTGTGACAAAGTTCAAGTGTATAGAGTTTTTCGCCTCAAACTCGGCATACTCTAAGACCGTGGCCACTCAAGGGAGCGGAAACCTATTTATATGCTTGCTAGTTGTTATTACGAGCAAGCGAGCGCAGCGAGCGAAGCGAACTCTTTTCAATATAGCGGAAAAATCTCAGTATGGGCCGGGCTGGGCCGGCCCGGCCCAGCCCGGCCCGGCCTGTAACGCTTTTCAGAGGCTTATAACTCAGCAACCGCTGGGCTGATTGACATGCGTTCTTTTTTGTTGGGTAGCCCCATCCCTTCTTCCCCGTGGTTGACTATTTTTGATGCATCCAGGCGACCGTCGTGGTACGTGCCACGTGAAAAGTCAAGGTTGTTCAAGCAGATCTACAGAAATAGCGCTTTTGGGAGGCCTATATCTCGGTAACTGCTTAGATGATTGATTTGCGGTTGTTTTTGCAGGGTAGTTGCATCCCTTCTACAAAACATAGAATACTCTCAATGCATGTGGGGCACCCCCAGTGCACGTGCAAAATGCCACAAAAAGAGGTGCTAAATTTGTTCCCATTTTTATAACTCGGTAATTACTGGGGCGATTTCGCTTAACCCTCGCCCGTATCGGTGTTTTTCCAGCCGCGAACGTATAAAGGGGGGGGGGTCCAGTTGGACCCCCCTTGCCGTTTCGCCCCTGATCGAGCTAGAGCCAAAGGTCATTTGGGTCAGGGTCATGAAATTTTCAGGGTAGGTGTAAAATTGATCAACTCGAGGGTACTGAAAGTTTCGTCGCGATCGGCCGCTTTTTACGCGAGTTATTCGCGAAAAACCGAGGGGGGGGGTCCGTTCGACCCCCCCCCCCTATACGGGTGAGGGTTAAACTTGCCATACAGGTAGGCCCCACCAGGCAATGCATTCCTATATGTTGCGGTTAGGGTGCTACGGTACGTCCGCAGTGCGCACGTGCAGGGCACCAGATCTCGAGAACGGTTGGGCCCGCTCAAATTTGGTACACGGTTGGGGACTGGTTAGTAGGGTGCCATGCAAAAGTCAGTTTGGACCCCGTTTGCACGTGCGCACGTGCAGAATGCCGCTTCCATATCTCAGGAACGGCTGGGCCAATTGCATTCAAATTTGGCACACCGCTAGCAACCGGTTAGAAGAGTGCTTTGCTCAAGCCCGTTGCAAGTACCTTCTCGCCCTTCCGCACGTGCAGGGCTCACTATCTCACTCGCTCGTTCTTCGACCAAAAGGCGTTTTACTGATGATAGCATGGTTGGATAATCTACAAAACTAATAATAACAAGCGACAGAGAAGCATAAAGCTAATACTTTGGTCTAATGGAAACACATCGGTACGAGCAGGCCATTCCAGCCTGGTCCAGCGCGGTCTGTAGAACACCTTTGGAATGCTACATTGTATCAATCATAAGCAAGGTTTCACAGATATCCTCTATGCTGGGTAGTCCTATCACATCTGCCACACATTCAACGACTGATGCTGTACCCGCATGTCTGCCACGGTACCTGTCACATTCTGAATACAAGGTGCTGAAATTGTTGCGCCCTTACACTAGCTCTGGAATAGCTGTTTCGATTGCGTTGAAGCTAGTCTTATCGTTGGGCAACCAAACGGGCAATACATTTTGATTTTGATATGCTACGGTTGGTGTGCACGTGCAGGACTCCTACATACATGCGGTCTCAAGAACCGATGGACCGATTGCACTCAAGGCTGGTATGTCACAAGGATCCGGCTAGATGGGTGACGCGTAAAGGTCAGGTTGGGATTTCAGGGTTCATTTATTTGCATTTCCAAGTTATCATGAAGTCAATTTTGCGTGTAGAAGCGCAAAACTTAAACCACCTGTAAGTTCCTGGTGACAAACTGCGTTGGATAGACATCCGTTTCATGCTAAGAAACAACTTTTAATCTGACCTTGTTTAACAAGATTTTGACCTGACTTTAACATAACTTTGACCCTATCTGTCGTTAATGGCCAAGAGACCGCTGCTCATGAACTTGCGATCCAAACCTAATGACATTTCATTGGCCCATCATATATTTGCAGCAATCGGTGACCTGTTGGGGCCTGGCCAGTGTGACCTGGCCTGGACGAAAGTTGGCGTCATCTTCTGATATATAGCTTGAAGCAGGAATAGCAAACATTGTATAAGCTTTTAATTTCTGTGTCATTTAACCCTCGCCCGTAAACGGCGATCTGCCACCTTCGCCCATGCAGGGGGGGGGGGTTGGTGCGACCCCCCCTGTTACGAACAAAGCATACATGCATTATAGGTAATAGCCGGGTGTTGTTGATATGGTGGCGCCCGAGGCTAACGAGTTCGTGCAGCACGTGTTTTATTTAATTTCAAAATGTAGGACAAACATGAAAATGTGTTGTGTGTGGTCAAAAATGTAGGCTTAGTGTTGAATGTTTAATTTTGAAGAGGGATATCTTTAAATACAATGCATCGGCCTCAAAAGAGATTTTAAGTTTACAACATGGTCCTCCGGGCCGGATCTTTAGTAACCAGTAATTCTAATGGATCCGTGTTTTTTCTTTGTTTGGAATGATATACGGGTAAAATGAGTAGCACAACGGAATCATTAAAAACCCGTAGTGTCGTGTCTGCTTCGTCGAGAAGTTCCACGGTAAGGCGTGAGGCAGAGCTGGCCAAGCTTCGTCTGTCACAGCAGCGACAACGAAGCGAGCTGGAGCGACAGCTTCAGGAGGCTGAGCGGCGACTGAAAGAGTCCGCGCTCGCTCATGAGGTCGAGCTTCTCGAAGCGGAGGCAGACCTCATTGAACGGGACGAGCGGGATGTTAGTGATGACGAGCGTGTGCGTGGCGGCGGCGACTCCAGAGTGCAGTCGCCCGCGGCAGCCGGACAGCCGCCTCCCACTGCTGTCACGGACCATCAGCCGCCGTGTGACGCGGCACCGGTGACTGCCGCCGATCGCACCAGCCGCTGGATCAGCGAGCTGGGGAGCCGGGCCTGCTCCCCGGAGAGAACGCCGCCTGGAACCTGGATCGACCAGCTGCTTCCCTCCACACGTCCTGAGATGGGTAAGCCAGGACAGCACTGCACGGCCGCAGCACCCTCTCCTCTACCAAGACTGGCGCTAGAGAAGTTTCAAGGTGACCCGCTGCAGTGGCCCAGGTGGAGCGCTCTGTTTAAGTCTTTAGTTCATGATAGACGCGAGCTGTCTGACGCAGAGCGACTGACCCACCTTCAGACGTGTCTCGAAGGGCCGGCACGAGACGCCGTCAGTGGCCTCCTGTGTGACGGCTCCCTTTACGGAGAAGCTCTCCGCGAGCTACAGGAGCAGTTTGGTGACCCGACGGCGGTTGTGAGGTCCAGCATTCGTCAGGTGCTACAGCTGCCTCCTGTGACGGAACACAGCCTGACTGGTCTGGCCGAGCTGTCCCGCGCCCTGCACGCCGCCGTCAGCGTGCTGCGGTCGATGGGCTACCACGCTGACCTCGCAGCTACCTCTAATATCGCAGCAGTCGTCTCGAAGTTGCCTCTGTCACTCGCATGGAAGTGGGGAGAGGAAGCTCTGGCGAAGAGACCTGCGCAGCCTACCCTTGGAGAGTTAGACAACTGGTTAAGAAGACAGACGCTAGCTGCACGTGCAGTACGAGACGAGCCAATTGAGAGAAGCGACCATGAGGGTCGGGACAGCAGACGGGACGGGACACTATCGACCTCGAGACGGGACTCTATCAGCCGCAACAAGAGTAGACGAGACGGAAGTCGCGGAGTGGCTGCCGGGGCCGCCGCAACCCGCACGGCCGGCATATCTGCTGTCGCGTCGGCGCCGTCTTCCCCGTGTAGCTGCTGCGGCGGTGGCCACGGGTTAGACTCATGCGAGGAACTCTTGCTCATGAGTTTGACCGACCGAATGCATGTCGTCACTCAGGCGCGGGCGTGCTACGTGTGTCTCACGACTGGTCATACCGCGCGCAACTGCGGGCTGAGGAGAAGATGTCCTGTGGACGGGTGTGACCGGTACCATCACCAGTTACTACACGGCGCTGCGGCTCCAGCCTCGAGTATACCCGGCGCTGGCAGTGCGATGGCTCAGCTCTCGTCCGTCCGACCACACGGGGGTATGGATTCTGTGACCCGGGTGGGCACACAGACCACCGCCGGAGCTGACGGATCACCGGCAGCCGGTAGGGCTCATCTGATCCTGCAGGTGGTGCCGTTAACTGTCCACGGACCGAACGGGAGTCGCAAGATAAACGCTCTGTTGGATCTGGGAAGCCAGATATCCCTAGTGACGGAGAACCTGGCAGGTCAACTGGGTCTGACAGGGCCAGTGCAGCCCCTGCGGATCGCCACTGTCGATCACACCACAGCCAGGCCATCACGGCGGGTTAAGTTTAGTGTACAGCCTATGGAGTCCGAGGAGTCGTTCGAAGTGGTGGATGCACAAACAACTCCTACGCTCAACATATCCGGGCAGGCCGTGAACTGGCCGTCGGAAAAGTTGAAGTGGCCACATCTGGCGGACCTAGGCCTCCTTGAAGCGACCTCGGAAGGAGTGGAAGTTTTGCTCGGAGCCGATGTATTTGGCCTGATTGTGCCCCGTGAAGTCCGAGAGGGCCCATCAGGGAGCCCGTCGGCGGTGCGCACACGGCTGGGCTGGATAGCAACCGGTCGCCTTCCAACGCTCTACCGAGATGACACGCGGCTGGTTCACCACATCCGCGCGCCAGATGATGACGTTCTACACAGCCAGGTGGAGCAGTTTTGGACGACAGAGTCATTCGGCACTAAGTACAGCTCGCCGCCGAGGAGGTCAAAAAAGGAAGAGGCGGCGCTCCAGATGCTGGAAGCTAGCACGATATTGAGGGACGGCCACTACGAGACTGGTCTGCTATGGAGTCGACCGGACGTCGAGTTGCCCGATAATCGTGCTGCCGCCCTCACACGGCTGCATCACACAGAACGGAAGCTGGATCGAGACGCGCGGCTGGCACGTCGGTACACGGACGTCATCGAGGGCTATATCAAAGACGGATATGCGCGAAAGGTTACTCCTGACGAGATAAGCCGGTCAGAGCGTCAGTGGTACCTGCCCCATCACGGTGTCATCTGTCCAAAGAAGCCAGACAAGCTGCGGGTGGTGTTCGATGCCGCCGCCCGCTGTCGCGGAACGTCTTTGAATGAAAACCTTCTGACAGGGCCCGACCTAGCTAATAGTCTGGTCGGCGTCCTCCTGCGCTTTCGACAGAGGCCATTTCCGGTATCAGCTGATATTCAGGCCATGTATCACCAGGTACGAGTCACCGAGACGGATCAGCCGGCGCTGCGCTTCTTGTGGCGGGGATTCGACCGGAAGCGTGAGCCGGACACGTACCAAATGCAGGTACATGTGTTCGGAGCTGCGTCGTCCTCGTGCGTCGCGAACTATGCGCTCAGAAAATGTGCTTCTGAGAACGCTGTGGAGTTCCCAGAGGCGGCGGCGGCTGTGGAAAGACGGTTTTATGTGGACGACTACCTGGATTCGCTGGACACAGCAGAGGAAGCTGATCACCTGCAGAACACGCTGACTGCCATGCTGAAACGGGGAGGCTTCCATCTCACCAAGTGGGTAACACCCCACAAGAGGGAAGCCGATTCAACTCAGCGGGATCTGGATCTAGATGACGCACCGATGGAGAGAGCGCTGGGAGTATACTGGGACGTCGGATGCGACTGTTTTGTTTTCATGGTGACGAAAATGGACAGAGAATGCACTAAGCGCTGCATACTGAGCCAGGTATCGTCCATCTTCGATCCTCTGGGGATGGCAGCGCCGTTCGTCATGCGTGCGAAGGGGCTGCTGCAGCGCATTTGGATGCAAGGATACGACTGGGACCAAGAAATCGACAATGAAGACCTCTGCAGCGCCTGGCACGAGTGGCTGGACGACCTCAGCGACCTTGACATGTTCTGCATGAACAGGTGCTATCGTCCGACCGCCGCTCCGCCTGTGGACTGTCAACTGCATGTGTTCTGTGACGCGTCCCTGCTGGGTTACGGAGCTGTGGCGTACTTCCGACTAAGCCTGGAAGATGGGAGCGTCTGGTGCTCGTTTGTAATGGCGAAGTGTCGAGTGGCACCCGTTCGACAGATGAGTGTCCCTCGGCTGGAGCTGCAGGCCGCAGTTCTGGCTGTCCGACTCTCAGCCCAGCTTGGCCAGGAGCACGACGTTCGGATCGACTCTGTGCACTTCTGGTCCGATTCACGCACCGTACTTCAGTGGATTCGTAGCGAAAGCAGGCGATTTCACACATTTGTCGCGAACAGGGTCGCAGAGATACACGACTCGTCGGCCGTCGAAAGCTGGAGACACGTACCCGGCGTCATGAACCCGGCGGACATGCTTTCCCGAGGATGTCTCGCGGCTGAGCTCTGCCAGGAGGGCTCTGACTGGCTGAGGGGTCCCGGCTTCCTCTGGCTGCCGCCGGCTGAATGGCCGGTGGAAAGTCGCACGGAAGAGGAGGATCACACAGAGGACCGGTGTGCCATCACGGTGACGACGACTCTCGAGCCGGTCATCGACCCTGCCGACTACTCCTCGTGGCTGAGGCTCCTCCGCGTTACTGCGTGGACTCGCCGATTCGCAAAAAACTGCCGAATGCCGAGAACAGATCGTCACTACGGTCCACTAACCGCGCCAGAAATTCATGAAGCTGAGTTATCCTGGCTCCGCCGCGCGCAGAATGATGATTTTCAGCCCGAGTTGGACGCCCTGAAGCAGCGCATGCCGCTGCCCCGTCGGAGCCGGCTTCTGGCTCTCAGTCCATACCTGGACGGAGACGGCCTGCTGCGCGTCGGAGGACGGATCGAGCGGGCGGCTCTGCCCTACGAGAGTCGACATCAAATCCTACTCTTTCCGAGTCACCAGGTGACCCGTCTCATCGTGTCTGACAGACACCGGCGGCTGTGTCACAGTGGCCCCGACCACGTGCTGTGCTCTCTGAGACAGCGTTATTGGATCGTGCGCGGGCGTTCTGCCGTGAAGAAATGGACAGCCGCATGCTTCTACTGCAAGAGGCGTCGTGCTGCCCCACGTCCGCCATTGATGGCTGAACTGCCTGCCGGTCGAGTCGAATCGACGGGTCTACCGTTCAGGCGTGTGGGCATCGACTACTTTGGACCAATCACGGTAAAAAAGATGCGGAAGTCAGAGAAGCGATATGGGTGCCTGGTCACGTGCCTTGCGACCCGTGCCGTCCACATCGAGATAGCTCATTCTCTGGACGCGGACAGCCTGATCATGGCGCTGCGACGCATGATCGCCCGACGTGGCCGGCCCAGCCAGATCTACAGTGACAATGGAACTAACCTGAAGGCCGGGGAGAAAGAACTGCGCCTGTGTCTCCAAAGGCTAAATCAGGCTCAGCTCGCAGATGCCCTGACACAAGAACAGGTAGACTGGTGCTTCAGCCCACCGGCCTCGCCTCACTTCGGTGGCTGCTGGGAGAGGCTGGTGAGGTCGGTAAAGCGCGCCCTACATGCGGTGATTGGTGACCGCGCAGTGACAGACGAGATGCTCCTGACCGTCATGGCTGAGGTCGAGGGGCTCCTCAACAGTCGGCCGCTAACCCACGTCAGTACGGACCCGAACGACTATGAGGCCCTAACGCCTAATCACTTTCTGCTCGGTCACGCCTCTCCGAACCTACCCCCGGGAATCTTCGAGGACGGTGACCTGTGCAGCCGAAGGCGTTGGCGGCACACGCAGCGACTCGTGGATCATATTTGGAAAAGATGGCGTCGAGAGTACCTGCCGACGCTGACTGTTCGACAGAAGTGGACTAGAGAGACACGGCCACTGCAAACGGGAGACCTGGTGCTGATTGTAGAGGATGATGAGCCGCGCGGCCACTGGCCTCTGGCGCGTGTTGTCCGCCCGATCCCCGGGGCCGACGGCCGCGTGCGCGCCGCCGAGGTGAAGACAGCCGGCGGTGTGTACACACGACCGACAGTCCGGCTGTGCCTGCTAGAAGAGGGATAGTGGTGAGAAATGTGACTGAAGGCAGCTCAGATTTGGTGCTAATCTGATCAGTTGAAGATGGCTTCCTGCGTGATCATAGTTCGATGTTTGCTTGATCTCATGCATGGTTTGCTCGAGTTCAGGATGATAATTCGTAAACGGAGCTGGGTCGAATTATGGGGAGGCTGTTACGAACAAAGCATACATGCATTATAGGTAATAGCCGGGTGTTGTTGATATGGTGGCGCCCGAGGCTAACGAGTTCGTGCAGCACGTGTTTTATTTAATTTCAAAATGTAGGACAAACATGAAAATGTGTTGTGTGTGGTCAAAAATGTAGGCTTAGTGTTGAATGTTTAATTTTGAAGAGGGATATCTTTAAATACAATGCATCGGCCTCAAAAGAGATTTTAAGTTTACAACACCCCCCTTGGCGTTTGAAAACGGAGCGTCGTAGAGCTTAGCGGAAAAGACCAACGGATTGCTCTCGCCGAGATCTCGCGATTGGTGGTATATTTTTTGGTCCTAGGCCAACATTTGACCTACTTTTGACCGGTCAAAGGTCAAATTTTCGGAAAAATAGACTTTTTTCAACTTTCCGCGGCGATTGCGGCAAAACGGTGGGAGATATCGACTTGAAACCTTCACTATCGTGTTCCTTGATCAATTCTCTATCGTTTGGTATGTATTTCGTTTCCCTAGCTCTAAAAATGGCGCGTTGGGAGCGCCGGAAGTCGGCAAGGTCACAGTCGGCGGCAGAAATTCGAAAAATCAAAATTTAAATTTTTGAAATCTGATTGTATTTTTGGATTTGGAAGGTCCATTTGCTCCCTATAGAAGCTAATATTGCTGCATATTCCCATTGAGGTGACAAGAATTAGCAAAATAGTGGTTCGGGCGCTTTTCAAAAATAGTACCGGACGCTGTTCCTCTTGTGACGTCATAGCTCCGTGACCTGACCTGACCCGGTCAAGTTTCTTATACCATATGATAGCCAATACTTGCCCCAACATGCATGGGAAGTTTCATCACGATCCATCAACCGATGTCCGTACCACCGGCAGGAAACCTCGGGCGTTGGCACTCAGTTTGTGAAAATCCGGCCGGAGGCTGTTCCCTTTGTGACGTCATAACTCCGTGACCTGACATGACCCGGTCAAATTTTTTTTTATCAAAAGATGCGCAAGGTTTGCCCCATAAGGCACCCAAAATTTGGCGGCGCTGCGCGCCGCCGTTTTTGCACTATTTCCGAAAAACCTCAGGGGGGGGGGGTTGCACCAACCCCCCCCCTACATGGGCGAGGGTTAATTTGTCCATAGTGTTGCATAAAGGTTTAAAGGTTGAACTAACTTTTGACGTCATCTGCGACAATGCGGTCAGTAAATCTGAATTATCTGGTATATCTTGGCGGGGTTATCGATAACCGTTTGAATTTTCACCGGCTAAATGGTTTGAAGATAGAAGAGAGCCGTAAAGGCCACCTCCACGTTAAGCAGATCAGGTAGTATCCCATCGAAACGTCGCGCCATGCAAACTCCCGGCCAAAACAGAACTTCTATCACTGAGTCCATATGAGCTGCCATGACGTGCTCGCCGTCCGAGTCAGGTCGGGGTCGGCCGGCGGCGCTGGCCGGCGTCCGTCTCTGCACGTGGCGCACCATATGTTGCTGCTGCGCACCAGTCTGTGCCGACACGGGCCAGTCGATCGGCCGACGCCCCCGCCGCAGCCGACACCGACGGAGCGAGGCGTCCGTCGCCGCCGGCGGCCCCGCCAGTCTGCTTCGTCCGACGCGACGGTGCGACCTGGGCAGCGGTCGGGTCAGCCGACACCGTCAGTCATCAGCGTCAGCAAAAGAACCGGCCGCCGGCTTGGAACCCGCCAGGCCAGTGCAAGCTAAAGTAAGTCCGCGAGTTATCTGATTGTTCTGCAAATGTCGGGGTTCTCAATTGTACTGCGAGATGGTGCTTATCTCCAAATGACGGAACGATAGCCAACGACGGCAGCTCAGGTAGCGGACCAACATGCTCCTTTACGATATTTGTCGATTAGAGTAGCTTCTTTTTATCAGAGAAAATTAATATTTTATGCACTATTGGTCTCAAGATAGGGCCCAGGCGAACTGTAGTTTTGATGCAGTGATTACTCCTACCCTCGCCACAGCTCGGGCCGAGTGCACCCCTCCTCCCACCCAGTCCCCCCCCCACCCGAGTTGTGGCGAGGGTGAGGGTATTCACCGCATCTGAACTACAAGTCACCTGGGCCCTTATCTTGCGACCAATAGTACATGTTTTGACTAGATATCGAACTGAAGGCGAGTTCCCTTCCAAACGCTTATAAACCGTTGCATACATGATCGTCTCCTGGGTCGAGTGGCACTGTGGCTCTCCGCAGCCCGTTCCTCCCATCGTCCGGCAGCACCAGCTGGAACACCCGGGGGACTCGGGCACTCGCCTGCGGAGACCGCCACCACTCGCGACGCGTCCTAGCTGACGTGTCAGCCGAGATTGTGTTTGCGCGGTCCGTCCGTCTTTTTGTTTTCTCGTCCCGACGCAGAGTGTGTTTTCTATTGGAGAGTCTGCCACAGCTGTTCGAATATTTGTAGTCAATATTTGCAATCATTTTCCGCTCTTTTCTGGATTGGAAATGTGAAAATATCAGACACATAATTATTGTTTTCTAAAAAAAATGCAACTTTTTGCCGGTTAGCTGTGAAGAACGATTGACACAAAACAGAATAACGCGTTTATGACAGCATTCAGCTTGTCGATATTTGTTCAATTGCGTAAATCGGCATACTACTATATATGGCCTTGGGCATACTGAACAACGACATTTGGCGTCGAAACATCGATATCATGTATCATTTTTACTATTATTCATCTGTTTTGTTCCTGTCCTGTTGTTTATGGGTAGCTTCTGATGCCATCTTTTTTTCTAAGCACATCGCCCTCAGCGTTCACTAATGTGCTGCTGCCGACTAGGGTAACTGAATAGCGATAGAGGTAATTCGATTACACCTGCTAATGTGAGCGGGATTAATTAGGCAGACTTAACAATCAGCTGTAGGTACATGCATCATGCCAGATGGTCGTTAGCTTATCATGATGGAGCATTGGAGCATGATTGTGGTAATATATTTCCTCCTCCTTTAGTAGCAACAATAAATAGGTAGATAGCATTGATAACTGTTAGACAGTGAAACTTGGTCAACATTCCTGTATGCATGCTTATGCAGGAATGCAATTGCCATTCATCAATTATATTTATCAAAATAAAAAATACACTGATTGGAGTGAGCTGGTCAAATTCAACATTTTCTTACCAATATAGACAGTAAATGGATTGCTGTTTTCAAGTTGGACTAACCAAATATATCATTTATAAATACAAATGCATGAAACTTGATGGATTCGAGAAGATCGCCAACCAAATCCGACATTATGATACCGACACGGTAATAACAAAAAACACACGTTTACAAATTAGTCATCACACCAGTTTCACGGTTTTCTTATTACATTATCCATTCCCGAACGTTTATGTAAATGAAAGTAGGCCTGGCGCCAGCAGACGGTCATGCTGCACCGCCAGGCTTTGGTGTACTGCGGCTCAGTCTACCAGTGCAGAACCTCTCAGTCCCGGCGGGTACGGATAATTTATATCTTTTCAATGGATGCTTTCAACCTAGCTGGAATTGTGAACTAAGTTCGTCGAATAAGGCTAGGCTGGATGCAAAGAAACCATTGAAAAGGTCAGATAGATCAAACTAAGCCTAATGCACCGCCCATACTGTGTTAATATGTTTTGGTTGGTGTTTTCTATATAATAATGCGGGTTAAGATAATGATCTCAGCAGCGACATCTTACGGCGTTAAGGTCATCTAAGCTTAGATGTATGGCATGAGGGTTATTTAATTTAAAAACTATAGTTTATATGTTCTTGATTATGTTGCTTGCATTCACACCACCCTCCTCATGGTCGTGGAAAAGGCAACAGCGGCTAAATTCATCGCCATCATTTAGCGATGCAGCATTTAAGCAGCAGTTACCGGCTAGGGCAGAAAATCAGTATATCTGAACGGTCGGATGCGCCAAAAAATGTTTACCCCATCGCGAGTCCTGCCGTCATTGGTTCAAACTAGCCACAAAAAACATAGTTAGTGGAGCTGACTGTAGCTAGCGAAGCCGGAAAATTTGATAGTGGCTCGACTGGGCGCAATTCGAGCCTGAAAGCCTACGTGTCCGATCCAAAAGATAGATGGATGTTCAGGAAGCTGAACAGCTTCACCCATTAACAATTATCACTCAGGCGAAAGCATGCTCAATTGCATTGTGTTCAGAAATCTGAACCAAATTGCAATGTCACCATTTGGCTTGTGCGGTCATGCGCGAAATCAAATTGCAGCGCCCACTGACGCTGCTCTGTTTGATCATGGTATCTGCACACTAAATATGCCATGGTATCTGTATTGGTTTGGAAACATGCATGCAAATACAGTTTTGTGGCTCATGTAAGCATGCATTATGTATTTATGCTCTACGCAACAGCGGCCGATTTTGTGGTTCCGCACATTATAGAAGCATGGACATTGTACATTGCACAGGAGACTTTTTTTTAGGCAGTATACAAGCTGTAATGTCTTATGAATTGCCATGTGGTTCGGGTTTCCCTGTTTGAAATAAACCGACATGTTTCGGCTGCGATTGATCATTTCTGCAATAAAAGTAACCGTTTTCATATTTGTCCTTTACTTATAACGGTGAGGTCACGTGACCCACACAGCCTCAGTTGACTTAGGGAAAATTTTGAGGCAAACAAATTTTGAGGCCTCTGAAGGCTACAAATTTAACAGCTGTAAAGCGTTGGGGGTTCTGTAAAGCGTCGCAAAAAATGTGGGGGAATTAACGCCCCCCCCCCCCCAACCAGCAAGCTGCTTGTAGTTAACCATCAAGTATTACTACAGCACTACAACATAACTAAGCCTGACCACACTAGTCACGATATGCATGCAATAGAGATAGGATATATTGTCCAAGCCGACTTTTTTTATCGTTCTTTGATACTGCATTGCATTGGTTGGTATGATAAACTCTGAAAGCATATTTGTATTATTAGCTCAGCATAAGACCATTCTTATCATCCACAAAGGACGTCGCATCAAACCCATATCCTTCTGAAATGAAATATGTTAACCATACGTATTGATATGGAATTATCGGTAAGTTTTAACCTAGCGGCGAAGTTGATAACCCAGTGTTGTATGATACAATAAAGTAACGCATTGAAACATATGAGAACACTTGTATGAAAATATACGGTATGAAAGTCTTAAATACTGCTCATTTATATCGCCCGAAAAAAACTCTGATTTACTTGTTGTCATGACGTAATTGTGTGTGCTCTTTTTTTAATCAATGTTGTTATACTGATACCGATTATTATCATGGTCTGAATTTTATTGCAAATATTAGAACAGAACTTCTGAAGCAGCGTTTGAAGGGACCCTCCCACCTTCAAAAAGCTAATTAATTGGCATAAAAGTGATGTCGCTCGGTTCAGAAAGAGCGAAAACGAATATCTACCAAATTTCAAAAATATTCACCGGTTTTGACTTTTACTTTTGTTTACTTTTTGGGATCTTCGCTGTTCCTAGCGACTTTTTTCTTAGGCAGCTGAAAGTGAGGCACTTGTTGCGCGCAAAGCAGCATATACCACCGCGTGCTACCAAACGCTTTAGTAAAAGATTTAAAATCGTTAGATCTGCGCTGACGTCACACATTCAGAGGGGGCATTCCAATGCATTAGCCCCTCTGAATCGAAGTGCTGCAATTTTGAAATGAGATACTTTTGATTTAAGGCATTTCTCGCGTTGTTGTGAGTGCTCAAACCGGTAAGTGCAGGCCAGGGACCCCATAGGATATCTCAACTCAAAACTAATGTTAAGGTGGGATGGCTACTTTAAGGTGATTCCGATTAACAAAATATTGTCCATGAATAAACATTGTTGAAAACTGAGCAAATAAGTTGCCGGATTGACTCAAACAGTACTTCATCGTGCTTTTATGTACGTTTTTAGAAAATTTGAAAGCGGCGTATACAGGAGAAATTGAATTCATGTCTATTTCTCCTTTTCATAATTTCGTTACAAATTTCATATACTCAAAACCCTGACACAAGTGTCAGGGTCGGTGTGCAGGCTGAAAACGACATAGATAGGACTCTGACATCAACTACTATACCATATCATCAATGGCTGAACAAACGAGCTCTCAGCGCCTGAAAAACGAGCCAATCCGGCTGCCACTCTCGGCACTGCGGCGACACTCGACGGTCCCGACGACCCTGGCGTGACAGCGGACCGTTCGTCGTCGCTACCGACGTCCGACGACCTGCCGCGCGGTGACCAAAACGGCCTGGCCGGACGGCACCGATGGCCTCTCCGGGGGAGTGGCCGCGGGCACGGCGCCGGTCGGGATGGGACGTCTTCCTGCACTCGGCCAGAGAGAGACAGTGAGAGTGGGAGAGAGAGAGAGAGAGAGAGAGAGAGAGAGAGAGAGAGAGAGAGAGAGAGAGAGAGAGAGAGAGAGAGAGAGAGGGTACAGAGAGGGATGGAGGGCAACCCGGAGCCCCGCCCGTCCGCTGTCACCACCTGACTCGGGAGTGGAAACTAGAATTCTCGGCCGATGTCATTCTGCCGTCGCCGTGCCCCGTTTTCTGAACAGTGTCTGAGCGAAGAGGATGGGATCTCATTTTGTCTGCGAGTGCCGGCGTCCACCGTCCCCTGAGACTGTTCTATCGACGGTGTTGAGACGGCTCACGAAGTGCTCGTTCCTGTTGACGCTCCACTTGGTGGCGAAATCGCTGCCGAGACAGCGCTGGTCCGGCCCCGACCCACGC